GTGGGGTACCTAAAACATTATTTATAAAAATACAATATATAAATTATGAATTTACATCAAAATAGAAATTAACCAAAATGGTGTCTCAACTTCAGTCCCGAAGTAAAATGCCTTCAAGGATCTAATGGAAGTACAAGGTCCGCTATGCTATCTGAGATCAAAAATATTTTTCAGTGAATAACGTCCCAACAATAAATAACTGAATATAAAAAAAATTAAACAATTATGTAATTTAAAGAAGCAACGATTTTTATAAAAATTTAATGAACTTCGAAATAAATGATTCTATAAAATTTTAAATAAAATCTCGAACAGTTTAAATCTCATAATAAATATTATTATCACTTGATTGCAAGTAAGCAAATAACAAAATCAATAATTATAAATAATTCACTATTTAAAACCAGTGGGATGTAAGATTATCAAATAATCGAATTCATATAATAGGGACTTATCAGAACCATTAACAAACGTGGACACACAGTCCACGAGGGTAAATAACCAAACGTAGTTCTCACTACGAAAACAAACGTGGACACACAGTCCACGAGGGTATGTAACCAAACGCAGCCGAAGCCACGAAACAAACGTGGACACACAGTCCACGAGGGTACGTAATCAAACGCAGCCGAAGCCACGAAACAAACGTGAGTACGATGCTCACGAATAACCATCCCTCCGTTCCACGTGCGTTGGCCATCGCACGGGGCTAGCACCTTCTATAAACACCCTGCTAGCTAGGTGTACCATGGCGCGCCAAGGGCTAACGGAACTGCCGTTAGCAACCAGTGTTCTATATAAAGTCCCCTTTAAAAATCATTTTCAAACATGCGAGAAAATCATCACTTTTCAGATACAGTTCTCATTCTCAAAATCAAACTCGCATGAATACTTTTAGGCATTAAAACTTGCCAGAATCAAATTTCATATCAGATGCTCATGCTTGCATTTATTGAAAAAAAATTCAACGTCGAACTCGCATGAATCATTCTCTGTATCAATTCAACATTTGATAAAATAAAAATCTCATAATCAAAGTTCAAACTTGACTTAATTGATCAAATAACATTTCAAATTTGGTAAAGCTAATTTCTCAATCATAAAGAAATGTTAATCAACAAATATCCAATAATCACATTAATGCTATTAAAATGATTTTTAAAAAAATGTAATATTTTAGTAAAGGAAATTTTGAAAAAAAAAATCAGTTGGGACGCTAGCCACTTACCTGCAACATCTCCAAGCACAAAATTTACCCTTTAAAGCTTCAATCCTTCCTTATTACCTTAATCAAGAATTTCTTTCTCTAAATCCCTATTCAATAATACAAAATTTAGTGGCCTCTGCTCAAATTTAATAAACCCTCCTCCCCTAACATCATAGTCACTAAGTTCTTAAACCAATCCAATCTCTGCCTTTAATCAATCAATCCTTTCAATATTGTACATACACATGTCACACTTCACAACTAGGCCAAATCAATTCAGGAAGTAGAATAGATAAATCTTAAATCCAATATTTTTTTTTTCAAATATTGCCTCAAATATTGTACTAACTACACATAACCTCCGTAATCATTAGTATTGCTTGCAATATACCAGTCAAACTCACAATAGTTTCATAATTGGCATTCTTCACAAAATTCAAGTTTCTTTTATAAATAATTAGCACCCAAGCCACGTATGACTTCATAAAGGTTAGTGAAATTTTTAGAAAATTATAACTAAACAAAACTCCTCCTAATAGACATTTTATCAAACACCTCATAAGCATTAACCCTGAAACTAATAATCCAAGGTTTTTTTTTTCCATTCCAATAACTTCCTCAGTACCTCAATACCAATTTTAAGTTCAACAACTTCCCAATTAAGCTCAAAGATAGTTAAATCAATTTATTCTTCTGGTGGAACCAATGTAAGTAAGAGAAATTAGCTACCAAAAACCATACTCTTAAGCTTAAATCTTGAATATGATCAGACTCCCTTCTACTACTCCAATCACACACAGCTACAACGAGAAAGAAATAAAAATCTCCAGCCATCACAGAACATCAACAACGTAGAAAGAAAGGGAAGAAAGTCACGAGCTGTACAGGGGAGAAGGGATTCGATGCAAACAAGCTACAACACAGTCAAAGGAGGAACATTTTGTTACTCCCCAGTCACAAGCCACGGACGAACAAGGTAAAAAAAAACAAGAAAGAAGATGATCTGAGTACTCACCTCCACACGGACAGCACAAAAAAACACGAACAGAGGAGGAGAAAGAAAGGGTCGACGGAACAGGGGAGAAGACGACAGCCACACACCAGCCACCCTTTCATGAATCAGACCTCCAAAACTGTTAGACCAGTTCCTTGCGTGCTCACGATTCTTGAACGGAAAGAATGGAGGAGGAGAAAGAGGGTCCGACAACACCCACGACTGAAATGATCTGAGGATCAGCGATGAAATAGGATCCCCAGACCTGCTATCCGAACCTCCTCTCTTGCTTGCATGGCTGGTGACCTTAAAAATGATAGAGAAAAGATGGAAAGTCGGATAATGGACGAGGACTCTCTCTCTCTCTCGCTGAATCTAGAATTTTCGACCATAGGGGAAAAGAGATATGTCAGTTAAAAAGAATGCTACTGCTCTCTGTTTTCCGCATGAAGGAGAGAAGAAAATATGAATACAAGAACAATCGAGAAAATTGCAAGAAAGGCCACAGGGAAAATTACAAAATGAGGCTAAATTTTTTTTTATAATTTAAAACAAAATAAAATCAAACCTTTTTTTTTAGTAGAATTCAAGCCTTAAAACTTTAAAAAAAATTACTAGCATAAATTTCATTAAATCACCACTTTTCATTTAAAAAAATAATTTAAATAAAATATAAATTGAGAGAATATATATATATATATATATATATTTGAAATTTTAAGGTTATTACACATGCAAAGCCTAGCATTTGAAGAGAACCCTTCCACAGCTCATATTTCCCTTACCTAAACCTTAAACCAACAAAAACAAGATGGAGAAGTAGAGGAGAGTGGCAGGAAGCTTACCTAAGTGATTGTAGACTCAAATTAGCTTCCAAACTTGCTCAATCCAAAGCTCCAGCACAACCTTGCACTTTCTCCTTCAAGCTCTTTGAATTACCAAAGTTCTCTATTCTGAAATGATGAATCACGATTTGATTAAGTTCAATTTATGGCCATACATCACACCATTTGGTACAGCAAACCAACCTCAATTTTTCCTTACTTATCCTGACCCAATCTGATCCAACTTCAATCCTAACTCAACTGTGGAGCTATCTAATAATTCAAAACACCAATTAGTAGCTCAAAAATATAATTAACTTAATTAATTCATTAATTACTAATTTACACCTAATTAAAAATTAGGTTTCGGATTAAGAATTCAGGATGTTACACTAGATGAATTGTTTTTTTAAGTTTAAGGGGAAGAATGGCCCAAAGTATAATATAAGACATTAGGTGTTTTTGAGGGAATAATTTAAGAGTAAAAATAAATTTTAACCCAAAAAACAAAGCGTTGTTCGCTTCTTCATGCAATTTTCTAGATTCCAAACAACAAAACTATTGATCAATAAAAGCCAATTGCTTAGATGTACATCTTCTATTATTCTTTGAAAACACTAAAAAAATTCTTGCATGGACTAGGAGTATTATCTTATATATGCTCTATTCAATAAAAAATATACTACTTCAATTAAATAAAATTTTATCTATCATGCATTATTTATAATGATTTTTTTTGTAGTAGAGTAACTCTTAATTTTTTGCATTTTCTCTTTTTATCATCGTCATGGATGAAGAAGAGAAAAAAAGCAAGAAATTAAAATAATTTGAAGTAAAGTAGCATAAATGAGGGGTAACACATGAGATTAAATAAATATAACACTCCATGTGGGTCCATGGAAGAATTTCTCTCAATTCCTAAAACTGATGCCCTTAAGATTTAGTAATGTACGGTATTTTACACTTGTAAGGAATTTTTTTTTTTAGCTTTACCTTGTATTGGTTAATGAGGGTTGAATAATTACGAAGATTTTTTCACAAATATCTTTAGTTAAAAGATGTAACTAATAAAGTTTTTTAATTGAAACAAGAATTAAAAGAATTAGTTAATTAATTATCTTTAAAATGATATACACTTTTCATTTTACTCTTTTTTAATGAGATAAGTCACATGTGGCAAAATTTTGTGCCATACGATAAATTGGAGAATAGAAGAGGCTTTGACCTTTTTTATTTTTATTCAGGAAACAATTGTATTGGGGGTTAGTAAATCGAAAATCATCGCCAAAAATCAATAAATATGTATTCAAGATTCAATCGCTAATTCAAGAATTTAACAATGAAAGGGATATTTTAGTCATTAAAAGTGACTTCCTAAAACCAATAATAGAAGGCAGTTCGCATGCAGGATCCATCATAGGCTCCTGACAAAACATGGAACCCACTTTTGTTTGCCAAAAAAAGGAAAAAAGAAATGTAGAAAAATTTCTTCTTTGGAATTACTCGCACACCCCACACTCTCCTCACAGGAAAGCCCGCACGCACACACCCCACCTATTTACCCGAATTCCATCAGATTTGAACTCGCAATCATACCCATTTAAAGGTGTCTTGGTGCCGCCATGTCCATAGGCCTTTGGCATTAGTTGGAATACTTCTTTGAGGTGATTGAAGAGTTGACAAAAGTTCTGCACAACTTCAAATACATCTCACTAGCTAGTTGGTCCAATTATTCAACTGGGTAAGACTAAAAGAAGCACATATTCATCCATTAAGAAAATGTATAAAGAGCCTGGGTAATCATGCATGATTGATAGTTGTATCACATACAGGAGAAGCATTGAATAATTGAAGGAGAAGCTTTGACTTTTATATTTTTATTCAGACAAAAAACAATATCCTATTGGCCATTACTCGATTTGTGTACTTGTTATTCAAGCTACTCACCGACTCACTTTCTCTCTTCTCAACTCCATTATTCTTATAACCATCGTCACTGCCCCTCCTCTTCTCCATCTCCCTCTCTCTCCACGTTGACCTCGATTCATTCTCCATTCTGTTTCTGTGCTTTTCCTCCTCCTCCTTCTTGTTCCTCAGTGCTTTTGCTTTTTCTCTGATCGTAAATCATACATTCATAATCGCCACACCTATCTTCCTCCATCTTCACAAGTTTCTTCTTATTCCTTTCCCAATCTCCACATCACTCTCTCCTATATATTTCATGTTTTGCTCATCGCCACTTTCATCCTAAGCTCATCAAACCTGGCTCCTAATTTCTCCTCTTCTATTCCTTAGACACACATCTACAAAAGCTCCCAATTATGTAACTTCACTCTTCTTCTCTTTCAATTTCCCAAAACAAAAAACCAAAAAAAAAATTCCCTTTTTATATATGCTTGTCATGAATATCCTGCAATTCCAAAGCTGAGTTTCTTATATTACGTTCATAAGTCTGGATCCTCTCTCTCCCACTCTTCCTTAGAAGCCCATTTATAAAAACCTTCCAATTATGTAACTTTGGCCCTTCTTTTCCTCCACAATTCCAGAAAAAAAAAAAAGAAAAAAATTTACTTTTAATCCTCAAATTTGAAAAATGAAGTAGTATCAGCTTCGGCGTATATATCCTTTTTTTTTTTGGTTATCTATATCATTTTGTTCAAGTTTCCTTGCTTGCATAGAAAAAACAGAAAAGGATGGCGGATACGGAGATGGGGACGCCGACGGCAGCGTCGGCACCGGCTACGCTGGGGACTCCGGCGCCGCTGTTCTCGTCGCTGCACGTGGACTCTCTGACATACGAGCGGAACGCAATGCCGATGTGCCATTGTTTGCCAACGAAGGCCCACACATGCTTCGCTGATTTCTCTGTCCCCAACGTGTCTCTCACGCGCAAGGTACGGTTCTATAAAATTTCTCTATTTATTTTGTTCCCCTCCATTCTCCTTATTGATAAACTTAGAAATTTTGTTCCATTGGCCAAAATTTTGTTGGATTCTTATTATAGCATACTCTATACAATTTAGTGAATATTTATAAATATTTTTAATTTAAAAATAATCACACATCTAGTTGGTTCACTTCACATGGATAGCATGTTAAAGCTCAAAAATACATGTTAATAGTTGTAATTAAGGATAATTTGAGAATGTTACAGTAACTTTTTTTGAAAAAAAAAATCCTTGCTAATTTGAGCAGCCTTTCTTATTATAAACTGATCGCCTATATATTACTGTTAATATAATTTTTAACTAAGAAAAACTTAAAAAATGACATTCTCTCCACACCCTCCTCCGTCAATGCATCTTTATTTTAATACTCAATTTTATTCATTTATTTAATTATTTATAAATAAATTTATAATGTTTATTAATGATAATCACTAAATGGAGAGGATCCAAATCTAAACGGAGATGTGTATTTATTGTGGCCTTGTTTCTCAATTCCGAGCATCGAAAGTCATAACTTGCATTTTCTTTCGTTAATTAAATCCACTGTAAAAATAAGTCCTGTCCATCCTTGTAAATGATATGAATTTGTAATACTCTTTTATTCTAAATTTTAAACATTTTTATTTTTAATGTGATTTCCTAATTTGTATGTGACAAATTCAACTCTGACAAATATACTTATCCTTGTCGGAAGAGCGGGAAAAAAAAAAAAGTGGTATTGTTTGTCACTATAGCATTTTGACATTTGGTGGATTTATATATATACGTTTAAAAATATATAAAAAATTTAAAAAATTAAATATTAAAAAATATAAGATATTTTTAATCTTTAATTTTAACATGTAATTATTGCGTTTTTCAAAAAAAATTATTAATGAATGATTTTATATTTATTATATAATATTTAATAATTATAAATATAAAAAAATATAATTAATTTAAAAAGTAAATAATTATTTTATTAAAAATAAAATTTAATTAAAAATATTTTATATTATTAAAAAAAGGGAATATATTGTAAAATGTAAATTATGTCGGCCTTTAACAATGGGCGGCGCTCGTTTTCCAAAGCCAGCCACGACCTCCATAAATGTAGTAAGGTAAAATATATTTTTATTCTCTTACTTCATAAGTATAATTTTTTAATTTATAAAATGTCTTTGCAGTTTTCCAGACATTGTTAATTTGTCAGCATATTTAAGAATATTTTATTAATAATTTTAAAAATTCAATACAAATTTTTTTAATGAAAAATACTGATATTAAAAATTTAAAAAATAAAAAAATATTTTATAAAATTAAAGAATTAAAGATATACTTTAATTTAAGTAATTTATTCACCTACTTCTAATTTTTTAAAGATTTTCTGACATTTTCATAAACTATTTGTCCTCTATATTCGTCACTTGATTCGTGGCCGATAAATGTCATTATTTTGATGGACTTGAACCGCGGCCACCGAACAATTATATAATATAGAAATTTTACTTTTTAATGCAATTTGATTATTTAATAACATTGGGTCGGCGATGAACTTTTTTGGGAACTGAAAATCAGTTTGTTTAAAGAGAAAAACACACCAAAATATATGATCTTGTGATGCAAAATGCGTAACTAATTAGACATTTTCTCATGGTCAAGAGAAACTAAAGAGACACATTAAATTCAACATATAATCTTAATCTCTCTGGTTTATGGTAGAAAAATAAGTTTGATATGTGGTATGTCAAGTTTACCTACTGTGTTGTAATCTGGAAAAAAACATTTAACTATTTTTATTAAAAATACAGAGAATAGGAAGAAAACAAAATGGGAACGCATTATGAATTGCCAAATGTTGGCGTTAGAGCAAACTTCTTTGGGATAAGATTCTCTCAATCATACAAACTGCTATCAGATAATAGAAAGGCTAATCATTGCAGCTATTTGCATTATGGCTCTCTGAGTTCTGTGATTTAAAAAAAAACATTTGGAAAATTTGTGATCGAAATTCTTTTGATCGTTCGGACAGAAAAAGTTTCTTCGGGTTACTGGGGGAAAAAACATATCACCTGTTCTCAAATTTTCATATCACCTGTTATTGCTTACTTATGAATGTTATTTTTTCTTAATTACATCAAAAGAGTTTATATAAATCTTTAACTTCTACTGTCCACGTACCTTGCTTTTTTTCACCAAAGATGTTCCTTTCTCGTACTTACAAGATGCTGGGGACTAACTGGCTAAGTAAACTATTCAAGCAGTCAAAAAAAGTAAATTATCACAAATTATTGACGCAATAATAATTTGAGATTTTGACCATGTCAAGAGTCCAGCTAAATGAGAGGGATATTAAAAAAACAAAAAGAATATCACAAATTATTGACACGTTAATTAAAAATAACTAAATTTTATTTTTAAATCTGTTTGGATTAGTTAAGTACTCCTTCCAATCCTAATTATAAGGTAAAATTTTAAATTAAAGCTAATTTAATTCTAAAATATAGAATAAAGGTGTACTTTAATATAATATCTAAAATTCTTGTAATATTGCCCCTCTTTAATATATTCTTAAACGTAGTTAATTGAGGTCATTAATTTCAGTCAAAGTGTAGGATTGAAAAATCATTCTTTTTTTTTTTTTTGCAATTTTAAGCTTATTCATTACTAAAAGTTTTTGAAAAATGTGAAGTTAGTTAACTTGTAAGATATGAGAGAGTAGATATGACCATGAGCTGAGGAAAACCATTTCGTCTTTGGTAAATGAGGGAAACGGTTTAATTAGATTTATTGTTACAATGTTTAAATCATCTTGTCTGTGAAATGCATGCAACAAAATAGCAGATCGGAGCAGAGTTCGTGGGCACCTTCCTACTGATGTTCGCCGCCTCGGCAGGACCCATCCTGAACGAGAAGTACAACGGAGCAGAGAGCCTCACCGGCAACGCAGCTTGTGCCGGCTTAGGCGTCATGATCGTAATCTTGTCCACCGGTCACATCTCCGGCGCTCACCTCAACCCTTCCCTGACCATCGCCTTCGCCGCCTTCCGCCACTTCCCGTGGGTCCACGTCCCCGCCTACATCGCCGCCCAGGTTTCGGCCTCCATCTGCGCCTCCTTTGCTCTCAAGGGCATCTTCAATCCTTACGAGTCCGGAGGCGTTACCATTCCTTCTGTGAGCACCACCGTTGGCCAGGCTTTTGCGCTCGAGTTCATCATCACTTTTAATCTTCTCTTCGTCGTCACTGCTGTTGCCACCGATACTCGTGCAGTGAGTTATTCTTCTTCTTCTATCCCATTACTCGATCAAATTCGACTTTGATCTATCACGGAATTGATGGTGGCGCAGGTTGGGGAATTGGCCGGAATTGCTGTTGGAGCCACAGTTTTGCTCAACATTCTGATATCTGGGTTAGCACCTTTGTATAATCTTCTCATCTTCGTATTGTTCTGGTGTGAGGAGTTACTATGTGATTAATGAGTTAATGAAAAAACTACATTCTTAAATTTTGAAATGATGAATAATTGAAAATGTTGATAATTATATTTAAGTCTAATAATGGTCATTTTATTGACGGTCAGGAATCGCTCGATTCTTATATCTAATATAACATGTCATTGTGCACTTGCACATGCACGTATTGTACCAAGTTTATCTTATAATATTTAAGAATAAAGACATAAAATTAAGGGGCCGGAAGGAAAAGTGTTAAGTTGGTTTGTGTGTGTAAATTGGTAGGCCGGCAAGTGGCGGTTCAATGAACCCGGTTCGCACCTTGGGTCCCGCCGTGGCTGCAGGAAATTTCAAGCACCTATGGATATATATGATCGCTCCCACCCTCGGAGCTCTGGCCGGTGCTGGTGTTTATACTATCGTCAAGCTCCGCAGCGACGAGGCTGAGCAGCCACGCCAGGTTCGGAGCTTCCGTCGCTAGCCACGCTGCTTCATCACTGTGCAGTGGTTACCATAATAACTAAATAAATAAGCCTGCGGGGAATCCATTCTCATAAGCAGACATTGTTGAAAATACTCTTTTGTACGGTGTGTTTCTCTGATGGCAGCAACGGAAAGCTTTTTCGTTGCTGTCGCTCTTTGCGATTTGGGCTTGTTTGTTTGATTATCTGTATCTGGGAATGTTGTGTGTGTGCTACAAGTTATGACGACGGTGTCCAGAACTAAAGTATGAGTTTAAAATCAATGATAATAAATGAGTGAAAATTATTATGTAATATTTTGTTGTTATTGGTTGTTGATATCTCTAGATATAAGTTACTTATATTTGATGCTGCACTAGGATAGCAGGCTGGGTCCTGGACGAAGCAAAAAACAACACCATATACCAAACCTACAACAACACCATATTCCCGAGCAAACATGCCAGCGGTGAACCTCTAATCTATATATGTAGATAAATTATTAATGGAGAACATCATTTCACAATTTGATTTCTAAAAATGCATATGAAAAATAGTGTTTAGAAGAGGACATCCTTTAAATTGTATTCAATTTTTTTGAAGGATTAGTTTCATGATCACTACCAGTTGTGAGGATACCTTGAAAATGAAAAAAGAAAAGTTTTTTTTGGCCCGAATTAAAATGACACTTTCTACAAACAACTGATATGAAGAATCTGAACATACATACCTATATATATAATCTCAAAGCAGAAAAGGAGGCTCGTCTATTCTCTAGCATGGCAACAAATTAAGAATTCAGAAATAAGAAATACAATCTAGAAAATATACATTTGGATTTTACTTCCCTTCCTTTCCTCTATCTTCCTCCCCCTCAATTCAAAAATTAGGCATCGTTCAAGCCAAACATTATCTAAACTCTTCTTCACTGATGTGCAGAGTGCAAATTAAACAACTGTTCATCTTCACTATGTATAATCAAGAAAGATGCACTTCTAGAAAATAGCATATGTATAATGCCTCTTATATATTAGTTATTTCAAAAACAATTATATAAACGAGACAAAATTTGACTTAAAAGACTACATAACAGTTATAGTTAATTTGAACCTATATAATAGTTAATATGAATCAATGTTATATACTTTCTCTGATTTTATTTATAAATCACTTCCAGCATGTTTTACTGAAAATAAAAAAATTTTAAATTTTATTAACTTTATCTTAAAATTTAACAAGTTTCCATCTGTATCTCTAATAAATATTCTTAAATATCATTATTAGTATTTTTATTCATAGTATTTTTATTCAAAGTATTTAGTAAGAGCAAAATATAAAGAGAAGCATTGAAAATTGATAAGTGCCTTATAAATAAAACTAAATTTTTTATTCTCTCTCTACCCTATAAATAGAACCCAAGAAGTAATCTTATTATTTTTTTAAAAAAATGTCATGGAGACTATGAAGCAATTATTTATAAACAACCGTTGTTACTTTAAATAATCATTATATAAATTTCTTTTTTTAAATTTTTTTAATTCTACAGACTATATAGTGATTGTTTATAAATAACCGCTATATAATCTTGAGATTATATAGTAATTATTTTTTAAATAACTGCCATATAATTTTAAGTTTAAATATAGGGATATTTGAAATAACTATTATAGTTCTTTTTTAAAAAATTATCAGCTGCCTCTATTTTTACCAATCGTTACATCTCAAAACCTCTAAAACTCCCCTCCCACGAAACCTCTCTCATTTACCACAAAGACACTTCCCTTTACTAAGAATCATTGTTTTCGGCCAACCCTGTTGTTTATTGTCAAAGGTACATGGTGGGTCATTGTCGTTGTCTCCATTATCGTCATTAAGTGTGGGTCACTCGTGCCGTGGGTTGCGGACATTTACCAATCCTCTCCATTGTTGCTCCTCAAGCTTTATCTTTCATTTGTTCTAAGGTTGGTATTTCCCTTCTTCCATTGTTGCAATCTTTTTGTCCTTCAATTTTTACACTTGGAAAAAGGTTAGTCATTAGCTGAAGGTTCCGAAGTCATCCAGATCTGAAGCATCCATGCGTCCCTGTCCATTGAAGTTGACGGAACCTACCAGATCTGAAGTGGCTGTTGCAATCAACTCTTGCTCTTGCTTCTCTACCAGTGCTTGTTGTAACACCCTTAGTTTAACAAAAAATAAATAAATAAATAAAACGTTGTTTTAAATAAAACCTGTCAAATGCTAAAGCAAGGAATGTTTCTTGGCAGAGACTTTTCGCACATGTGTGTTGAAATATCTAGAAAGAAAGATGTAAATACATCTACTTTGAGGAAAACACGCCTAACAAAGACATTGTATTCACTAACATTTAGGACATTCATAGTGATCAATACCTTCAATCTAGAATCGACTTCTTGACCCAACAAAGTGATAGATCTAAAGCGAAATAGTGTTCTCTTGAAAAAATTGGGTTAGATTTGATACAAATGGCTTTGTTAACAATCAAGGTGCAGCTTCTTGTAGAGGTCTCATTCGGAATGATCAAGAAAACTAGATCAAAGGCTTTGCCAAATACAACGGTTATCAATCAAGTACAACAGTTGAACTTATGGGTATTTTAGAAAGTCTCAACATTTGTTAGGCGATGAAGTTTAGCAAAGTCAATGTTTACACAAACTCTACAGAAGCGTTCACATTAATATGCAAAGAGTTTTTCACTAATCATCCTCTTGCTGCAGCTATCAATAACATCAGAAAACTTACTATTAGGGATTGGACGATAACCTTTGATCATATTTTTAGAGAAGCTAATAAATGCATTGATTGGATAGCTCATTTAGCATCTATCGATAATTTAAATGTTTAGATTTTTGATAATCTGTCCTTTAGTTGTATAAATATTGTGTATGTCGATAAGATTTAGATTGTCTGTCTACATGGATTAACCTCGTGGCCTTCTACTCAAAAAAAAAAAAAACTGTCAAGGTAAACATTGGGATTCCTAAAAAAAAAACAACTAAGGCCTTCAAGCCTCTAAACCATTTTCATAATTGATCCCAAAATAAAATACCTAAAGGAAATACTTTAATAAAGATAATACGATTGGTCTCATGATTAAATAAAAACTCTTTAAAATAATCCCATATGACCCAAAATACCAAAATCCCATAAGCCATGGCAACAAACAAAAGTAAATTGGACATGTGCGAAGCCTTTGGGACAATTGAGCCATTGTTCAACTCTCCAGTGCCTTCCCTTATAACCTATCGGAACCCTTACCTAAAAAATGTAAGAGATAACAAACAAGATATATATCTTAATAACAAATGAGTATTCTAAATATATTAACAAACCATTTAAAAATTCCTTTTACAAACCTATATTTACATGCATAGTCACTTTCACAATACCAATTTGCAAATAAGTTCACAAGACAAGGAAATATTATTTTTACAATTCGAAAGTATATCAAAAAGTTATACAAATAGGTGATCTCATCCCTAACCCTCCCTTATGCCTCCCATTCACCTTATCTTACTAGCTTGAGAATACACCCATCCAAAAATGCATTGTTTGCAAGAATAAACTCTCCTTCTTAAAAAAGTGTCCAATATAATGTCCCACAGTCCTAAGCTAGGGAAAAAGGGTCTTAACAAAAATGTCAACCATTGGAGCTCTAGAAGTAGTTTACCATGTGGTCAAAATAATAACAAAATCTCTAATATATTTAGTGCAATATCCCAAAAATTAACCTAAAGTTAATTAAGTTAATTTAGAGAAAATGAGTAATTTTGGAGGAATATTTAGATATAAATAATTTTAGTTAGGAGATTATTATTGGATTTAATTTAGCATAAATCCAAATTCTAAATTATGATTTTTAGAAAATAGAATTATTATTATTATCATTAAAAGAGAAAAGGGATATGAATGAAATTAAAAAAAAAAGGAGAAGGGATATAGACATTGGGGTGTGTATAGTGTGCAATATTATATTAAAAAAAGGGGAAAAGGAGAAGGAATATAGACGTTAGTGTGTGTGTAGTGTGTAATATTATATAAAAAAAAAGAAAAAAAAAGGAGATGGGAGGCGGAAGAGTGGTGTGAATTATTGCCATGGACCCACACCTATTTTAAAACACACAAGTTTTTTTCATTTCTCCTGATCCGTTCCTCATCTCTCCGTGTGCGAAACAGAGAAGTTTGAAAAAGAAAAGAAGAACAAAGCGAGAGCGTCGCTGGCAATAGGAACTGTTTAGAAGGTAAAGCTTTATAATAGGATACTTCAGATGAGATTTTATGTATTTTAAGACTAGATAAGTGTTCTAAATATTTTTTTAGTCGTTTTTTTTTCCTGAGACTGCAGATTTTGAGATTTTGAAAAATTTAGGGTTTGAAAGAGGGATGAATTTTTGGTGAGAAAATTTAATTGTTGAGATTGCTGGTAGTGTAATAAATATTCTAGAGTATTATTTTATTGATAGAATTAAAATTTGAGGCATTTGAGTTTATCCATAGATCCCTATGGGTAGATTTTTGGCTAAATTTGAAAATATAAATTAATTTGTTGATATTTAGATGATTATTTGAGATGAAAAATAAATTATTATGGCTATAAAATAATGATTTAGGCTTGAAATTAAGTTTGTAATTTTTGAATATTTTTATGTGCGAATTTTTGGAATAAAAAGAGAAATTTTGATATTAAAAAATTATTTTAATGAAATTATTGTGAAGGAGACTATTGAACCAAGTAGATAGGTTCAAATACATGAAATTAAATTTTAAAATTCAAGAGACTAAGACTAAGTTCTTAAAAAAATATAAAATAAAATAAAATAAATACTTAGGTGTTAGAGTATAAGTAAAAATTGTGTTAATAATATTATTGACACATTGGGATATGATCAATTGTAGATTAATTTTCTTTTGACACCATTCAAGTTTTGAAAAGCTTTGGAAGTGTTGTAACTTGAGGGGTAACATTTGACCTCTCAAAAGTTGAGGTAACTGGGGGAAATTTATTTTATACATTTGTATGTTACTTAATTAATTATGTTGGTAAAATAAAAGAATATATATATGTGTGTGTGTGTGTGTGTCTAAATTTTGAAATGGTTGTTTGTAATACATGTGGTTTGTTGAGACTCTATGACTTGTGACCAAGTTAATTATGACTTGGTGTGAGTAATGAGATTGATGGTTGATGATTATATGTACACTCTTGGTTATAAGTTGTGAATTATGTACAGTGATGAATTGTATGAGCATGTTGAGTTTTATATGATGCTAATGTGGTTTTGTATGATAATATAAAA